TAAAAATGCCTTTCTGCATGGAGATTTAGAGGAAGAAGTCTACATGGAGCAACCTCCTGGGTTTGTTGCTCAGGGGGAGAGTAACTTGGTTTGTAAGCTCAAACGTTTTCTCTATGGTCTAAAACAATCTCCTTGTGCCTGGTTTGAACGGTTCAGCATAGTAGTGCAAAATTTTGGTTTAAATCGAAGCAAAGTTGACTATTCCGTCTTTTATAGACATCAACATGGTAAGAGCATTTATCTTGTTGTATATGTTGATGATATTGTCATTACAGGAGATGATGTTGAAGGAATACAATTGTTGAAACAACATCTATTCCAACATTTTGAAACAAAAGATCTAGGGAAGTTAAAATACTTTTTGGGAATTGAAGTAGCACAATCCAAGCAAGGAATTTGCATATCACAAAGAAAGTATGCATTGGATATATTAGAAGACACAGGTATGATGAATTGCAAACCTCTTGACACTCCTATGGATCCAAATATCAAACTCCTACCATACCAGGGGGAGCTTATCCAAGATCCGGGAAAATATAGACGATTGGTTGGAAGATTACTTTATTTAACTGTAACTCCACCTGATATCTCTTTTGCGGTAAGTGTTGTTAGTCATTTCTTGGCATCTCCACGTGAAAGTCATTGGGAAGCTGCCATTCAGATTTTACGATATATTAAAAAATCTCCAGGCACTGGTTTGTTATACAAAGACCATGGAAACCTTGAAATTATTGGGCACACAGATGCAGATTGGGCAGGTGCATAGGATAGAAATCAACATCTGGATATTGTATCTTTCTTGGTGGCAACTTAATCTCTTGGAAAAGTAAAAAGTAAAATGTTGTTGCTTGATCAAGTGCAGAAGCCGAATATTAATCTATGCCTGTTGGAACATGTGAACTTGTGTGGTTGAAATACCTCCTTACCGAACTGCAGATTTGTACAAAGGAGTCCATGAAGCTCATTTGTGATAACCAAGCAGCTTTGCATATTGCATCAAATCCAGTTTTTCATGAAAGGACGAAACACATTGAAATTGATTGCCATTTTGTTCGAGACAAAGTTACTTCTGGAGATATTACTACATCTTTTATAGGCTCAAATAATCAATTAGCTGATATATTTACTAAAGCTTTAAGAAGTCATAGGATTGAATACATTTGTAACAAGCTTGGTGCATATGATATACATGCTCCAGCTTGAGGGGGAGTGTTGAAACACAAAAGATGTGTCTGTAGAAATATAGCTTTTGATGTTGTGTAAGGTTGTGTCTATTAGGATTGTGTCTCTTAGTCTGTATATATTTATCTGTTGTCTCCTCATTGAGACAAGCAAGTAAAAAAAACAACTCTTCTACATCTTTCTCAACAGTCTAGACAAAGTGACTAAGCTATTTATCGTTCCAAGTCTAGCGCTCTCGGGCATCTACTCAAAACCTGTAGAACAAGGGAAAAACAACATGGGGATAACACCCGGTCAGCGAACATTGCTGGTAACCCATCAATACGCGTTAAATAGCATATATAGATAAGTATAAATCAAAACCATTTTGAAACGGAATACGGTATATATCATTTCAAAAGCCATAGAGAGAAGTCAACTCTAAGGACTCATCAGACACTCTCAAAGGAAAAAGGGAATCACCATCCTTAAAACAACAACAAGACAAGAAACATGAAGAAGATACAACTCAAGATACATTCTACTGATCACAAAGTAGAATACATCAAGACATGCTCATAAGCAAAGAATACACATTCACACATTGGAAACTACATGACACAGTGAGAACTACATGTCACTAGTATCATAGTTCTAAGTTCCAACCTTATGCCCTGTTCCAACCTTATGGCTACCCCCGGCCTTATTTCGGTTCCAACCTTTACCTCCTAGTGCCACCCTATACTTCTGAGTCCAACCTTTTACCTCCGGGATGAGACCCAAAGACAATAAGCAAATGATCCCATGAAAATCTCTAGTGGCCCAATAACAAGATCCAAGTAAAAAAAGATTCAAGAGGCTTTTAACACTTTTGTGTAAGTAAATTGGAGTACAACAACTATTTATGAAAAAGGAGATCAATTTGGAGAAACAAATCTATTCAATTGCCTTCACATCAAGACTTTCGAAGAGAGCTACTAGCTTAAGGAGTGTGCTTCACCTACTAGCTTGATGAATCACTTACTTGCTTAGTGATTCACCTACTTGTTTGTGCAACTTCATCACTACCTAGCTGCTCACTCACCTCCTTGCTTGTCATCAACCAAGTAGCTCAAGCAAGCACCTCAAGCAACTAGCTTACTCAAGGAAACAAAGCATTAAATACTTATGACAAACCCATGTGAAAGATAGCAAGTTGTGGAAGAAAATTCAGCCTACTACAAATCTGATTTCATACGTAAAAAGGGGGGATGGGAGGTTTATTTTGCAACTTGTAATTTTTAATTATTTACTTCATAGTTAAGGGATGAAACCTAGAATATTTTATACATTTAAATCCCTGATTTTTCCCTATAAAAACCCCATCACCATTGGGTTCAAATTAGCTTGTAATATTTGGAATAAAATGAGATTTTCTCTCTTTTTCTTTGCATGAGAATTGCATTGAGTGTTTAGGTTGTTTGTGAGAAGCATTCAATCTAAGTAAGCTAGTGAGAAGCTAGTTTACAAGCTGAGAAGGCATATCCCACTATCTTGTTCTTTATATTCATACACATACCCAAAAATCCCAAAAAGAATAGAAATACTACTACTTATATTACACAGTTAAGTTTGTTTTTATTTCTTATCTCAAGTGCTAGATTCCTAAGTCTAGTTCTTAGCCTTGTTTAATCATCCAAGGGTTGAGAAGGTCATTGGAAGTTTTGGCGAGGCAATTGTAGAGTTCGGGATCTCAAAATCCAAGAGTCTACAAGGTAAGATCCTTTATAGGTCACGAAAGGTTCTGGAGTGATTCCTTGGGAGTGCACTTGTTGTGAGAAGCAACCCGTGTACGCGTCAGTTTGGTATCAGAGCCAAGTTCCTTTTGCATCATTCTATCATTCCTATCTTAAATTTCATATTCACCGTTGTTTTATATTTCTTTTCCCTTATTCTTGTTTAGCCTTAATTATATCCTTACTATCTTTACTGTTGTTCTATTTCCTTTTCCCTTGTTCCTTGCATTTGTTTTTGCTTGTTGTTTTTCCTATAAGGAGTCTTGTTTCGGTTACACCATCGGTTTTGGTAAGAGTATTGATTGGATTACCGTCGACTCTTAAACAATTCTGATTTTTGGTTAAACCATCAGCTCCTATTTATCGCCTTTGATTTGGTGACCTTATAAAAGGTAGATACCATCAGGCATATTATATGTATTACTTATAGCCTTTGATTTGGTGACCATATAAAAGGTAGATACCATCAGGCTTCTTTTCTTCAACTATTGTGTTCTTACTTTACCACTAATTTGCCTTATTTAAAGGGGGATTAAAAAAATCAAAAAAAAAAAACGAAAAGAAAAAAAAGGAGAAAAAAAAAGAGATAAGGTTGGTTTGATATTTTAGTTTAAATTGCAATTACTTGAAATCTTTTATGCATTGTTTCTCTCTATTATCTTTCTTCTAATTCACAAAAGGCCACCTGTGTTAGTTCCAAACACACTCTGTGTCAGTTTCTACATCACTTCACAGAAACTATTTCCCACCTTTCGTGTTTACTAGACTCAAACTCTACAAGTGTTGGGTTTGTTGTTTGCGGTGGATACAACACTTGCGAGTTTTAAGCTTTGTTAAGGACCAAGACCACAAGAATTAACACTTTTGGAAAAAGTCTAGTGAGGTTTCCAACGAATGCCACACGAGGGAAGTGAAAAAAAAAATAAAGAAAATTGTGAGGGTGTGAATATTTTTTTTTTTTTTTTTTTTTTTTTTTTAACTAACACCTTATTTTAGTGTTTTATACTTTAAAGAATTGCAGGTATGGCTATTACTAGTGAACAAAGAATTATTTGTGCCCAAATAGAAACAATGATGAACATGATGAGAGAGGGTACTAGGCTGCAAAACATTGAAAATGAAAATCAAAGGGGGAGAGTTGAAAATGAGGGAGTACAAAACCATGAGGGAATAAACCAAGAAGAAAGGAGGGGTAGGGAAGTAGCTAGACATAATAGTTTACCCTGCATGCTCCCTAGAAGATACGTGGAAGAAAGAGTAGATAATAATCTTAGCTCTTTAAAAATGGAAATGCCTACTTTTAATGGAGATTATGAACCTGAAGTTTTCTTAAATTGGGTAGATGAAGTGGAGGATATTTTTGGACTACATAACTTTGGGGAGGAAAAGAAGTTTAAGATAGCCATAGCATCCCTAAAATATTTTACAAAATTGTGGTGGAAACAACTTAGTCGTAGGCGCCTAGAAGACCATGATGACCCTATAAAGACATGGGGAGAGCTTAAGAGGGAGATGAGGAGGAAGTTTGTTCCTAGTAATTTCTATCGTGATATGCGTAGGAAATTACAAGAACTCAAACAAGGCAACAAGCTTGTTCGTGAGTTCTACAAGGAAATGGAGGGATTAAAGGCACGAGCAAACATCCAAGAGGATGACGAGACCACTATAGCTCGTATCCTTGAAGGGCTCAACCGTGATGTTCAAAGAGAACTCCGCAACCAAGAATTTGATGATGTAGACAAGTTGGTTCGAGTTGCTTCGAAAGTTGAAGAGGAACTAAGATCCGAAAGGGGAAGCAAAACATCTATGTCTTCTCGATGAGATCAACCAAGGAGAGCCACAAACAACTCTTATCAACCGAGGACACAAAAGGAGTACTCTCGACCATCCCACACTCGAGAGGAAAAGAAAAATGACCAAAAAGATAAGGGGAAGTTCTAAGAAGGCTCAAAAGAAAAGGTTAGTAGTGTGACATGTTATAGGTGTCAAGGTCGAGGAAATTATGCGCGAGAATGCCCCAACACCAAAAAAATTCTCACCACTGGCAAAGATGAGCGAGAATACATGTCCACAAGTGAATCTGAAGACGAAGAGTTGGAGCCAATAGAAGAAAGACAAAAAGTTGAACATTCTGAAGAAGAAGTGCAAGAAGATGATACTCTACATTTCAACTGTGTAGTCCACAAAGCCTTGAGCACTCTTGTTGTCCTAGATCAAGAAGAACAACGAGAGAACAACTTCTATGGCAAATGCAAGATTCCTGGTGCTACATGTAGTTTCATCATTGATGGAGGGAGTTGTAACAATGTGGTCAGCGAGGATGTAGTGAATACAATGAGAATTCCAACAATCCAACATCCTCAACCATAAAAACTACAATGGCTTAATGATGATGGTGAACTCAAGGTAGACAAGCAAGTCCTCATTTCTATTTCCATTGGGAAATACCAAGATGATGTGTTGTGTGATATAATCCCAATGCATGTTTGTCACATCTTATTGGGTCGACCATGTCAATATGATCGAGACACCTTACACCATGGTAAGGCAAACAAGTACACCATTCATAAGGGAGGTAAGAAGTACACTTTGACGCCACTAGCACCAAAGGAAGTGTACAACATCCAAGTGCAATCCAAAAAGTTGAGAGAAGAACTTGCCCAGAAGGCAAAAGAGGCCATGTCCATGAAGGAAAACACTAGTGGAAAATTAAAGGCCTTAGGTCAAGAGAAAAAGGAAAGGAAAGAAGGGATGAAAAAGGACACTACGCAATCATCTCGTAACTTGCTCATGACAAAAAGAGAAGTGGAGAGAGCCTTAAGAAGGGGAGGGGGAGTTTTCTTGCTTTACCCTATTGAGTTTTGTCTAAATGTTATTAAAAATGAAACTATCCCTTCTGATGTTTCTATCCTGCTTTATGAATTTGCAGATGTCTTTCCTGAAGAATTACCAAAGGGGTTACCTCCAATTCGTGGGATTGAGCATCAAATTGATCTCATACCTGGAGCAAGTTTTCCTAATAGACTGGCCTATCGCACCAATCCCGATGAGGCTAAGGAGATTCAACGTCAAGTTGATGAGTTATTGCAAGCTGGATTCATCCAAGAAAGCCTAAGCCCATGTGCTGTGCCCGTACTTCTTGTACCAAAGAAAGATGGCACGTGGCGAATGTGTGTTGATTGTCGCGCAATCAATAACATCACAGTGAAGTATCGCCATCCTAATCCTAGGTTAGATGATATGCTTGATGAATTGCATGGAGCTAAAATTTTTAGTAAAATAGATCTAAGAAGAGGCTATCATCAAATCAGAATGCAAAAGGGTGATGAATGGAAAATTGCCTTCAAGACAAAAAATGGTCTATATGAATGGTTAGTTATGCCATTTGGGTTAACAAATGCCCCTAGCACATTCATGAGATTGATGAATCATGTTCTTAGAAATTTTATTGGGAAATTTGTTGTTGTATATTTTGATGATATTCTCATTTACAGTAGAGACCCTCAAGAGCATATAATACATCTTAAAGAAGTCTTTCTTGTTTTGAGAAGAGAAAAATTGTATGCTAATCTTGAGAAGTGTTATTTTGGTGTGGAAAGTGTTGTTTTTTTTTTTTGGTTTTATAGTAAGTTCTAAAGGCATTGAAGTGGACGAGACCAAATACAAGCAATTCGAGATTGGCCAACACCAAAAACAGCAACTGAAGTCCGTAGTTTCCATGGCCTTGCCAGTTTCTATCGGAGATTTGTTAAGGACTTTAGTTCAATTGCAGCCCCGCTGAATGAACTTGTAAAAAAGGATGTTAAATTTTAATGGGGTCCTAAACAAGAGCAAGCCTTTCAAAGCCTTAAGGAAAAATTGTGTTCTGCTCAGGTACTTGCATTACCTAACTTTGATAAAACTTTTGAAATTGAGTGTGATGCATCTGGGATAGGTATTGGAGCCGTTCTTATGCAAGAAGGGCGCCCTATTGCCTACTTTAGTGAGAAATTAGGTGGTCCTACACTTAATTACTCTACTTATGACAAGGAGTTATATGCACTTGTAAGAACTTTTGAAACATGGGGAGTATTATCTGTGGTTTAAAGAGTTTGTTATACACTCCGACCATGAGGCACTCAAACACCTTAGGGGGCAAGGTAAGTTAAACAAGCGACATGCAAAATGGCTTGAGTTTATTGAAGCATTCCCCTATGTTATCAAGTATAAAAAAGGTAAGAAAAACCAAGTGGTTGATGCTCTATCTCGAAGGTATGTTTTACTTTCATCACTACAAGCCAAATTACTTGGTTTTGAATTTCTCAAAGGATTGTATAGTAATGATGTTGATTTTGCAGAAAAATACACAGCATGCTCTACAACTCCAATTGACAAATACTATCTACTTGATGGATATTTGTTCAAAGAAAACATATTGTGTGTGCCAAATTGTTCTTTAAGGAAAAGGTTCATTAATGAAGCATATAGTGGTGGATTAATAGGTCACTTTGGTGTGACTAAAACATATGTAATCCTAAATGAACACTTCTTTTGGCCCAAGCTGAGAAGGGATGTGGAAATGTTTGTTAGCAAATGTGTTACTTGCAAACAAGCTAACTCATGATCTCTGCCACAAGGATTTTACACACCATTACCTATTCCGAAGGAACCATAGACTGATTTATCTATGGATTTTATAGTAGGGTTACCTAGAAACAGAAAGGGCCATGACTCAATCTATGTTGTTGTTGATCGATTTAGTAAAATGGCTCATTTTATTGGTTGTCACAAAACTAATGATGCCTCTCATATTGCAGATTTATTCTTCAAGGAGGTAGTGCGTTTACATGGGATTCCACGTACCATTGTATCTGATCGCGATTCCAAGTTTCTAAGCCATTTTTGGCGAATACTTTGGAGAAAGCTTGGTACAAAACTTCTATACTCTACTGCTTGTCATCCACAGACAGATGGCTAAACCAAAGTTGTGAATAGAACTCTAACACAACTTCTAAGGGTAGTCATTAAAAAGAACCTCAAGTCATGGGAAGAAAGCTTACCATATGTGGAGTTTGCTTATAACCGAGCTATACATTCCACTTCAAACATGTCACCATTTGAGGTTGCTTATGGTTTTAATCCATTAACTCCCTTAGATTTGATTCCCTTACATGTGAATGATAGGGAATGTGTGGATGCTGCTAAGAGAGCTCAATGGATTCGTGACTTTCACTCCAATATTCGAGCTCAAATTGAAAAGAAAAATGAGCAATACGCTCAAAAGGCCAACAAAGGACGCAAGGCTACAATTTTTAAACTCGGAGATTGGGTTTGGATACACTAAAACAAAAATAGGTTTCCAAACCAGCGCAAGTCCAAGTTGATGCCTCGGGGACGAATCTTTTTCAAGAGGGGGAGGATGATAAGACCCAAATTCAACAAGCAAATGATCCCATGAAAGTCTCTAGTGGCCCAACAACACGATCCAAGTCAAAAAAGATTCAAGAGGCTTTTAACACTTTTGTGCAAGCAAATTGGAGTACAACTATTTATGAAGAAGGAGATCAATCTAGAGAAACAAATCTATTCAATTGCCTTCAAATCAAGACTTTCGAAGAGAGCTACTAGCCTAAGGAGTGTGCTTCACCTACTAGCTTGATGAATCACCTACTTGCTTAGTGATTCACCTACTTGTTTGTGCAACTTCATCACTACCTAGCTGCTCACTCACCTCCTTGCTTGTCATCAACCAAGTAGCTCAAGCAAGCACCTCAAACAACTAGCTTACTCAAGGAGACAAAGCATTTAATGCTTATGACAAACCCATGTGAAAGATAGCAAGTTGTGGAAGAAAATTCAGCCTACTACAAATCTGATTTCATACGTAAAAAGGGGGGAGGGGAGGTTCATTTTGCAACTTGTAATTTTTAATTATTTACTTCACAGTTAAGGGATGAAACCTAGAATATTTTATACATTTAAATCCCTGATTTTTCCCTATAAAAACCCCATCACCATTGGGTTCAAATCAGCTTGTAATATTTGGAATGAAATGAGATTTTCTCTCTTTTTCTTTGCATGAGAATTGCATTGAGTGTTTAGGTTGTTTGTGAGAAGCATTCAATCTAAGTAAGCTAGTGAAAATCTAGTTTACAAGCCGAGAAGGCATATCCCACTATCTTGTTCTTTATATTCATACACATACCCAAAAATCCCAAAAAGAATAGAACTACTACTACTTCTATTACATAGTTAAATTTGTTCTTATTTCTTATCTCAAGTGCTAGATTCCTAAGTCTAGTTCTTTGCCTTGTTTAATCATCCAAGGGTTGAGAAGGTCATTGGAAGTTTTGGCGAGGCAATTGTAGAGTTTGCGATATCAAAATCCAAGAGTCTACAAGGTAAGATCCTTTATAGGACACGAAAGGTTCTGGAGTGATTCCTTGGGAGTGCACTTGTTGTGAGAAGCAACCCGTGTACGCGTCACTCCGGGGACCGTCACCCCCCAGCCGACACTCCTATTCACCACCGATCTCTCAGTACACGAGGGTACCATTAAATATCATATCACAAAACCGCCAATCTCGTGAGCAAAACTCACGTAACAACCACCAATCTCAATCATAGTCACACAAGGTCATCATCATTACCAAGAGGACTAAGGTTCAACAATAACCTTAATCAAGTATCAATCAAAGGGTACTACGATTACATATGTTCACATCATAGGAATCAATCAATGGATTACAACAAAGGCATGGAACCATACTCAACAAAGAAGGATCACAATCCAACACCAAACGATGGCCAACACAAGTTGCCAATCCCAATAGGAAAGAACAAACCACACATACTAGCATTTCAACATCAAACTAGCATGTTTATCAAACGAGTAAACCAAAATTATTTCCAAAGAACATTCAAGACTCACAATAGTCCAATGAATCAAAAAGTCGGACCCTTAGCACGATTCAAGACACCAAATCCTACATGGATTCCTAACATACCGTTCTAGACATACGAAACATCAAGAAGACTCACAAATAGTCCACTAAAACAACATCGTGAGGTCAAAACATCAATACCAAGTCAAAAGAATCACGGGGAACAAATCCCCGTCATCACCCAACAGTGTTCCCCGCGGTTCTGCCCGCGGGTACCAACCCACGAGATATCACGTACCCTGCGGGTGGGGCGGCGGGTAGGGCCCTGCCCGCCGTTCCGCCTGGGGGTACACACCTGTACACCAACATTTCCCTTCGGGGATTTTCAACAACAAGTCCAAAACACCCAAAATCTCACACAAAATAACAATATGACTTGAACCCAAGAAATAGCCAAGCAATGGCATTCAAAAACCCTAAGAACAAGCTCTAAATATGCAATACCACAAGACAATGCATCAAATCTCACATTTCAACACAAGAATCATAGGTAGAAGCCAAGAAATCATCATATAAGTAAGAAAATAGGAGTGAATTCCATTTTTGGTCCTACTGTTATAGGGGTGTTTCCAATTTTAGTCCACCATAATCTTTTTTGCCACTTTACAACCACTGTTATTGAATGTGTTCCACTTTTAGTCCACCGTTAATATTTCCATCAAGAGGTCGTATAATCCAAGGGTATTTTGGTCTTTTTATGTTTCTATCTTCTCTTTTAATCCAGGTGCTTCGTCCTCCTCCTCCGATATTCGAATATGGCTCTTCGAACAACGAGAATGGGAAGCCAAAGCTACATCATTTCATTCGTTCCAACATGTGCCGGCGAGGTTTCTTAGGTTTTAGGTTTAATGTTCTAATTTCTTTAGTCAAACATAGTTTTGGATGAGAAGAAATGTCAAAATACCCCTAAATTACACGGCCTTTTGATGGAAATACTAACGGTGGGACTAAAAGTGGAACACATTCAATAATAGTGGTTATAAAGTGGCAAAAAAAATTAAGGTGGACTAAAATTTGAAATGCCCCTATAACAGTAGGACCAAAAATGGAATTCACTCAAGAAAATAGGTTTTGTAAAGCATGTGTTACCTTTGTAGCCTATTAACTTCTTCTTTTCACCCTTAGAAAGCCTTTCCTAAAGCTCCTCTTCCACACCAACTTCATACACAAACCAAAAGACAACAAAGATTCTATCTTTAGGAAAAGACACCTAAAAGGAGGTTAAAAACACCAAAAGACCAAGGATCTTACCCTCCCCTATGCTCAAGATGAAGAAAGTAGGAATCTTGGAAGACAAACTTGCAAGACTTGGGTGCTCAAATCCTAACTTGGAGAAGAAGCTACACCTTTTTAGAGAGAAGCTAGAGATTTTTGTGTTTAGATTGTAGGGTGAATGAAATGAAGGAGTGTTGATAGGTTAGCTTGAACCACAAACCTTAGGTAGAAAGACATCCCTACCCTTACTAAAGTTGGAAAGACAAGGGAACAAGGGCACAACTCAAGAAGCACAAGGTACAACCCTTTGACTTAAGTGACTAGTCAAAATCTAGTCCCTCGACTATTGAATTTCAGGATTTTTAGGAATAAATTAACAAAGAGACTAGGATTAATTCTCTAATTAATCCTTGATTATATTTTGGATTTACGGGGTGTCACATCTTGTTCCATTAGTATTTTTGCCCTATCAATCTGTTATAAACCACAATTAAAGTAAATAAATAACACAAACATTCAATGAATTCACAATTTATGTATAAACACAAAATACTCACAATGTCTTTTTCTAAATCTCCACTCGGATTCAAGTTCTCAACCTGTACAATACATCCTCTGAATTTGGCGACACCTTTCATTATAG